GAACAATGAACAATGAATTTATACGAGTTAAGAAGCGTTGCTCTACAAGTCCCGTTGGATAGTTGGTGGGATATCAACATAACAATAATGAGGATAAGGATAGTAAAATAGTTAATACTTTACATATGAAAATAAGGACTTATCGTTTGCTTCGTTGTAGTCCTGCGATGCTCTTAGATTCACAGCATCCACAAGTAGCAACAAATAATTCTATGGTAAACTCCAGGTGTAGGATGGAGACGTAGTGTTAAGTAACAAAGTGTAAGTGGATGAGTGCATCGTCCAACCGTCTTTTAAATACTGTTAGTGTTGGTGCAGAGACGACCGATTCTGGGAGAGCATTCCACGGGTGACAGACACGAATGGAAAAGAAATTTCTCCGGCACTCCAGACGACTGTATTGTTCTGCGAGTTTTAATGAGTGGCCCCTCAGGTTTGTATTGCTGCTGAGTTGCAGTAAAGGGCGGCACACGTGATGTGGGTCTCGCAGAATCAAGTATGCCAAAATCAGGTCGCTTCGTAGTCTGCGATAGCTTCCACTGAACAGTCCCAGTCGTCGCAGCTTCTCCTGGTAAGAAAGATTGCGCATTCCAATTACGTTCTTAGATACCCGGCGTTGTGGCTGCTCCAGTGCATTACGGTCGTGTTTCAGCCATGGATGCCAGGCTTGTATTGCGTATTCGACATGGGGGCGAACATACGCACTGAGCATTTGTCGAAATATGGAGCTGTTTATTTGTCCAAACGCCCGCCTCAACAGCCCGACGTGTTGGTTCCCGGTCTTCGAGGCCTTTTCGGATTGCCTGGAGCAACCCAAGTCATCTTGAACCAGAACACACATGTCAAGTTTGAGAGTTGATTGTTGCAGTACATCCGTTCTGAGTCGGTATGAGTAGCTGCTTTGATGTCGGATAGAAAGTACCTTGTATTTACTGACGTTGAAATGCAATAAGTTTTGGGTCGACCATTGATACACCGTATTTAAATCACTCTGAAATACATGTTGGTCGGTGTTCGCCTGGATCCTGCGCCGGATCTTGGTATCGTCGGCAAACAACCTTGGCACCGTAAGTGATGGAGCAGATCGACATTGGGTACTGTCCACCTGAAAGCACTGTTCTCCACAACTGGTCTCGAAGTTGTCTGAAGTTTTCATGTAGAGATTGCACGCCACGAATCCAGATTCACCGGGATGGGAGTTGAATCCTTTTACCCCTAACCCACCGAATCTTGTTGAGCAACGCTTATCACAACGATTAATAAGTAAGCTGTGATCGTTTTGAAGTGCATGTTGTATGAACATGCTGCTTGCCTCCGGTTAAGTTCCACAGAACTCGGCCAGCTGTACTGACTCGGTGTTTGCATAATTCATCACACTAGTCTCAGTTGAGTTCCCAATCGATTCAAGATCTCGTGTGTGTATAAATCATGCATAAAGCATGTGCTGCAAGGTTAAAATTACATGTGGAGTTTCTTGCACGAAGTAGCATATCAGCATCATTTTTCAGCAACCTACTTGGAAGCATTTACTACTTACTTCACAATTCAATGTGAGCAACACAGAGACTTATCTAACGAAACCATATTCTAGTATTTACTAGAGTTATAAAGTTACACACAAAGTTTAAAATACCAATGTATCTTTCCTTCGTTTGTTCGAACAGGTTTGGCTGACGGTCAATGTAAGGAATGACCCATGTTTGTTTTCAAAAGTGAACGATGACTGGCTACCGTACGCCGTGAGAGAGTATCAGAGGATACAGCAGACAATCAGCGAGCAACATCTGACCGGTAAAGAGCTGGACAATTTCGAGGTCGGAATCAGACGGGGGGTGAGTGAGTAAATGAAGGAATACCTACCCTTTCGATGTGAGAGTAGTTCACGTTGTTTGGGGGCAATTATCATTGCATTTATCTTGCCTATGGAGCTATTAACACATATTAACTGGGGTATTGCGTAGTCCAATTACAAATATCAGAAGACGAATGTTGTGAGATGACACTGTCCTTTGGTGCATACTCGTCGGTCACGTACATACAAAACAACGTCACGCGAAATCAATTACTGCCTAACTGTTTTCCCATGGGTACCGTGCAGCCACCACAGAAGGCTTGGTGTCAGCTGTTTTTAGACAGAGTGGTGGGCGCTTTTGACCGATAACAATGGCCAAAAATAGCTTGAGCATGTGGAGAATGACTCATTCGAGTTTACCTGGTGACCGGTGCTCATCAAATGCCACTTGACTGGAAGGCAACATTGCTTCGCAGTTCCCTGAGTACAACCGTCGCATGTCTCATCCGTTTATGGAGCCCATTTGGCATGTGATCATTGATCCGAATAATTTGGGTTCATTTAGTGTGCCCAACATAGCTGTCTCTACAGCTACATGTGAATTTGGGTTGCGTGTACGTGGCCGAGGAGTATGCATGAAATGCCAGTATCATCCCACCAACTCCGTTTTCTGATATTTATATTAGAAATTATAAAAAAGAGTTTACGTTTCATACTTTGCGGTTGTTGCTGCCTACTAAGCTGAACCGTAGTGAATTGAGGATCGCAACCGGTTAAAGTTAAAACAAGGTTTCAAACCCGGAATGGGCTTGGAACCGAATGGGATTTCATGATTTCAGGTTTTGAATGCAAACCGGTTTGTGCAGGGCTTAATATTGTACCAACGTTTCGCTCTTGACGCTAGCGTTTCTTCAGTCCAGGTGAATGGATCCACAATTCGTTTATTAAACGTGAATTTTAGCGAAAAATGTTTCGATAATTCTTTATCAGGTTAGTACAGTTATATACCAATTACATCAATTAGACCGACTACTATGTCGTTACACTGGGTAAAATCAGTTTATAAGCGGTCAACTATCGCCAATAATCAGGTTAATGTCAGGGTCTTCAGACGATCCAACTGAGTAAAAATCACTACTCGATCAAGCCAGGGCAGTTGTAAAGCTTGAACAAATCGCTTCTGGGTGCACAAGTTTGGTTCGTACAAGCGCACTACCATAGCTTCAGCGGCTTCTAATATCCATCTGCGCATATACTTCGATCGATTATCCCGGATCTTGTAGATAATTTGGAATGCTTCGGCTTTTTATGGAAAAGTAGGGTGAAGACTGCAAGAATAACACGAAACAGTGGATAATAGCTTAACAGATCAATAGGCCAAGTGACCATTCTAGTGTAACTACAAGCATCGAATGTTCCCCATTAATCCGCATAACCGGTCATTTACACCTGAGGCGCTGCTGTTCCTGCTGCTGATTCACACTCCGGCATGCATCCATCCGCCAACATCATTTCTGACTGGCCGGGTTGAAACAATCACGCCTTTGATAAATCCACACCGTCCGTTCTGTTCACACAGTTGTCAGTCTTAGTAATCTCAACCGCCTCAGCAATCTACTCTTGGTTTGTTGCTCGTAAACCTCTCTTAATTCCCTCGACATTGTCCCAGTCGATTTCGTGTCCCGTGTCTAACGCGTGTAAGGCCACCGCTGAATCTCTTAGTACCGCCCCGTATTCAGGCTCGTTTCGCAGTGGACGCGAAAAGTGCTTTTTGTGTTCTGCTATCCTTATGTACACGTGTTCAAAATTTCGCACCTTATTCTATAAACCCAATGGATCGTCCTGTGGCTTGGAAATGGATCCTACAAACCCACCAGTGCTGAACGAAGCGTTTGGCCCTGTTGAAAAAGCGCACTTGTTTTCTCTTTATTTGGTACTCGCCTGACTGCTTCACAGGTTCTCTTTTTATAGGGGGATTCCTACCGTCTCAATCCACTTGTTTTGCGTTGAGAAGGTGGTTTAGCAGCTCCTTGCTACTGGCATGTTACTAACCGCCTCGGATATCCACCGTGCAATACTTTGCTCTCCACCTTACGAACGGCCTCTCTGTCCTCTTCCTCTGTGCATAGAGTCTGAGTTCTGTGAAATAGAGAGGATGCGATAGCAGCATATGCTTGCTTTGCTTGACCCGAACTGTAATGCAGTGCCCCGTCCGTGCCTGTCGGTTTGTGATAAATCGTCTTCTTTAACCACTCTCCACCCCTATGAACTAGGCAGCATGACACCACAAGATTCTAGTTAAATAGTAAAGCGTATGTTCTCATTAATGGAGCTCAGATGGTTTAAAAACGCCTTTGTAATCACATGTGTATCATCTACATAGCCCCATCACCTCTTTGGCGAACTACTGGGGTTTGTCAGCACCGTGCTTTCAGTCTTCCATGTGTAGATTTGCCAACACGGGATATTGTTGTCCCCATGGCAAGTCCCTGTTCCTGAGCGTGCCGTCTCAACTGGGAAGTGGAACATGACATAATAAGGCCTACTTTTATTCCTCCGATTATCTAGTCTACTGTGAGGTTCGTTCGCTCCCCCAGACTAGTGTCCTCAGTCAGATAGCACCGTGCTATCCCCAATGCGATTGATCGATCAAGTGGTCCTGAACAAGCGTGGGAAGTTCCAACTGATGTACCAAGCGTTACATATGAAGTTTGGCAGTCCATTCGTGGGACTGTCGCGGTGTTGTAACCATGACTTTTTGGGTAATGCCATCATTTCCGGCTGTCTGGACCAGAAGAGTCCAACTCAGTACTAAACCCCAAAGGTATTTACTTCCGATGCGGATCGAGTACTCAGAATGTCCGCGAGTTGCCTCAGCTTAATTTCGTTTCGAGTTACAAGGAAATGTTACTATAGAAGCGGAGGGAGTGTGCTTCAAACTCCGAATAGGTCGTTTGCTTTGAATTGGTGATCCTAAAACAGGGTTGAAAATTTCTCCTCTAGACAACTAGACCCTGTGATAGCAGGCCATATAAATAGTTTTTCGGCGAATAGTAGGAATGTTGAAGATAGTCCCATCGTCAAGTCATTCCTGAGGACCGGAAACAGGCGGACTCCTAGTACCCTGGTGCACCCCACTGGACTTCCATTGGTTCGGATAGAGTGCTACGAACCCTCACATCCAGGTGACGTTGAATAGGAAAGTCGACTATCTAGCCCAAACGAGATCGCCCCTTCCATAATTACTGAAGCTTGTGAAGCCGAATGCTTTGATCCAGACAGTCGAATGCGTTTGTTAAATTCAGATGGGGCACTTATTCCAACTCCTGCATTCACAGACTCCGTTTAGTATGCACGAACTATCAGTGGGCTAATAGTGCATGGCCGATTTTGGCGGAATCCATGCTGCTCCGGGGCGAAAATCATGTTGTTCTTCAGTTACCCCATGAAGGTTTCAGCGACAGTGGAATACATGATCTTGGATATCACTGGAAGCAGTGTTATCTGCCGATAATTCGCTGATTCTGCACGGTAGCCACACTTGTAAACTGAAGTGAAGATCCCTTGTTTCCAAGTGCTGGGAACCTGCATCACATAAGTTACCGTTGTAAGAATCTAGCTGACGGTTTCAACGCTTTTGGTCGAATGCCGTCTGTACCAGTCAAACCGTACTGGCACAGGGACATAAGTCACTTCAGTACGTTCGTGGTGGCGAAGGATGTGTGGTTTAGCCCCGATAGCGGTATGACCTGCGTAGGAAAGATGCAAGATAATGGCACACTTTGGAACGGTGTGCATGTTAAATTACGAATCGCCTGCTGAGTGGAAAGGAAAACGTGTCTTCCACCGCATGCAGGATGGAGTTGCACATAAATGTGACGTGATTTGGACCGTATGTGCACTTCTGTAGTTTCACACCAGCGCGTTACAAGCGGACACTTGTAATGCTTAACGAATTCGTTTGGAAGAGTGTTTGACCGTTGAGCTTTCGTTTAGTATAAAAACATTTATGACGAACAGATACCTACGAAAATTTCGGGCGTCCAAGGATTTGTGAGAATAGAAGGACTTGGTGCGCACGGTAGCCAGGAAGAAGACATTTCTTAAATTAGTTTTCAACGGCCACTTCACTACACTTAAGACAACTGAGGTTAAAATCTGTGCTACGCAGTGAAGTTATTACACTTATCAATTTATTTCACCGACTGAACGCAAAATATGTCGATAGTTCCGATGAAGGATTCTAAGCCTATTGAGACCAGCTCATAATGTGTGTGTATACTAATTTCACCGAAACTGAATGTCCAGATCCGAGAGGATTGTAACTTCCCGAATGAAGGACCCATTACGAAAGGGAGTTTAGCGTGCGGTTCCCAGCACCTTCGCTCCTCAACCTCCTTGCTCTCATGGGTCACTGACTTCCCCATTTAAAACTAAAGTGGGGTAAGTGCCGATTTGGGTCTAACCAAGTATACTTGTCAATGTTAGCGTGCAGCATAGACCTTTTCATCATTGACAATGCTGATCATGAAGTGCTATGCATAGACACAAATCATTTCACACAATCAGTGAGATAGGTAGACAAAATTTAAAAGGGTAGTACTGTTTCAATGCAACCGTTTATAAGAAGGGTCATCCTAAGTTACGGGTAATCAGTCAGACACTTGAGAGCCGGATAAATTGAATCTGTCGACAGACATGGATTAGTCACATTCGTTCAATGTTTTGCATGTTCTCCGGCTGTTGACAATGTCCCAAGGTGTCTTCTTCCTTTGCTATAGGTCCTCGATATATTGAAAGCTTTGAGGGAACAATCGTTCTACTTTTACGACGATATCACTTTTTTCGAAAATCAACCCGTGACGCGAAATGCTTCTCATGCTGATTATCTATTGGTTAGTGAGGAGGTATATTCCAACGTCATCCTTAACCAACCCAGTCTGCGGTGAGTCTACTGATAGATCTATCTAATGACATTTGTGATCAAGAAGGCTTTTTCCATACTCACTTGGAACACAGTAAGTAACAAAATGAGAAAAATTCGGTCAGTTAGCTGCTAACCGTTCAGTGAAAGAAGTTACAGTTGATATGGACATGTGCATTGTCAGTCAGATAAAGAATCGATTATATGCTTCTCGAAAATATGGGACATTGCGTAACAATTATAAACCGAGCATACTACATATTTCAGTTCCACAATCGCCGGAGCACCTTGAACGTTTTGAACGAATTGCGCTTCACCTCCGTTAACAGTTCCTTGAGCGGATTCTACCAATAACAAAACCCACTGCGCCATTGCTTCAGGCCAAAATCGCAGTTCTTAACGAATTGGTGGGGTTGGAGAAAGATGCAAGTAGGCAAAATGAATGGCCTCTACTGAGGCGCAAAGCAAACATAATAGGGGTAACCTTAGTTGAAACCGTGAACAAGGTAAAACATAGCTACTACTAAGTTGCAACGGACAAATATCTGACGTAATCCTTAATTCGTGGATTCAGTGTTGGAAAACTGCGCTTGGAAAGCTGCAGAAGAATCTACTTTTGTAAAAGTATATGGTTAAACGAGGCCCAATACTGTGTGTCAGGATGCGTTAAAGAGACGAGAACAACTGCAATGACGTCAGACTTTCGAACGGGCCAGTGTTTGCACTGACCAATGTTAAGTACGGTAGCCAGGTGCTAAAGTAGCTTTAGAATCAGTGCCAAGATGCATTAGAGGGATGAAGATAACGGACGCGGTTTGGTACTGGAAGGCAGCTTTCTTCGAGACGCCTGTGTGGATAAGGTATCCGGAGTCTCGGTTTGACAGAATGCACTTTACCGTACATTTTAACGGTTAGTTGCGATAGACAAATTGGTGTCTTTATCCTCCATAAATGAAATAAATCCTCTGGGTAACAAGCTAGGTTGAGTTGCCACGGATACTTGCGTTTCAGAGGCAAACTGATGTACTGGACGTCCTTAAGTTTGGACGCATGGGACAAAAGGCAACTTTTTATTCAAATAAAGTCTTCAATATGATTTCCACCATTTGCAGTGCAAATGTAGTTGCGCTTCACAACATGTTCGTGAGCTTGAGGTCATAAATCCACATTGCGGTCAACTTTGTTACATTCACTTTTTGTTCTTTGAGTACAGTGTATAGAATCTGTGACTTTTCTTAACTACACTTATGCCCTTAGCATGCCACAGGTAAACAAAATCAAAGAAGCTTAGGTCTGGTAAACGACAAGACCAATCCACATGACCAGTCTTCTATTCCAATCAGGGAAATTGTCATGTAACCATTCTTTCACGTTCGTGTCAACATCGGCAGGAGCGTCATCCTGTGTGTTCGAAATTTAGCGGCACCATGTATTTCGATATTCGTGTGAAACGGAAGTATGGAACATGTCTGGCAGTGAGCCACAAAAAAACTATCAAGGGAACTGACGTTATTACCTGGTGGCTAACAAGTTGTGTAAGGTCCATGAAGTAAAGAAAGGTGGAATATGTTATTTTGACCGCAGAAATGTGTTTACGACGTAGCAAGATTGGCGCTCGGTACCTAAAGACCGTGCGACATATGCGCTCATCATTAGCTTTCTATTTGATACACCTGCACTGCTTCCTTTGTCCCCACTCAGCTACCTGCGATTAAATTTCCCCTACCGGCAATTCCCTCTGGAAGAAGAAGTTGACCTGCTCATTTCCGTTGTACGAGTAAGTTGTTTGAAGAAAAAGGCTTCGGGTAAATTTTCTAACAGTAAGCTGGTTGTGTTTCCACCTAAATACCACCCATTATGACTGCCGTTTCGGATAAGTAGGTATTTAAATAGTTCTTCGAGATTTTCACACAATATTGAGAGGGTACTGATGAACGTTGCGGTTACTAAGTTGCTTGCATGTTGGTTATCAGCCTAGAAAGCTTCCACAGTGGGCCGTGATCGGCGACAGGAAGTTGAACCGTCTTGACAATCGTTTCCTAGGATCGCTGGGCTTGTCTAGCGAAATTAATAAAGTACTCATGAGTAGTGGATGTTGTCATGAATTAAAGACGCCTCACTGCAGTCAACTCCCATGTAGACAGTCTACTACACGTCCGAAAAGGCAGCAATTCGCCGTCTCGCCCTGTTGGGACTCGCCGGTAGCGACCATGTTCCTGCCCCACAACCTGGTTTGATTGTAACACTTAATTGCTGCACATCACTCCCCTCCATAATAACGAGTTCGCATTGCGAAAATTTTCTATATGTGCTTCGGAGAGCAACACAGCCAATTACCGATGAAGTAGCCAGAACAACCAAGTAGATGATCTATCGGTTTGAGCCTTAAACAAGCGAATCTATATCAAAGTCGCGTGACGGTAGAAACTAAAAAAGTACTTCGCTGATTCTTAGCACATAAGCGGAATAAGTTTTGGAGACATTACAAACTAGATATTAATCATAATTAGTAATAAGCATAGCCTGTTCTCCCGTAAAATTATAAAAACAAACTCAGCTGTTACGTTTGAATTCCAGTTGACTTTACTTCAAGAAGGTGATCAAACGGCTAGACCAGGGTCACCAAGCGTTTATCACAGCGGCCGCATAACTGAAGAGAGCGACTGGCACATGCCCAATAACAGATAAAATGATTAGCTTGGGCCGCAAAATATTACACACAATAACTGTAAACAATAACCAGGGCTCTGACAGGATGACAAGGAAAACGAGACAACCGATTCCTTCATTGCTTTTGTTAATTTCTTCAGGGAAGGCAGAAATAATGGGGTCGGAATAAGGGAAAGATATGGAAAATAGAAACAATACAATCATATTTAAACATCGGAAAACAGCTTAATAAGCGTCACTGGTGTGAGTACGGCTCAACAGAGGCACCCGTAAACATCATTATTACTTTTGAGAACAGCATATGTCACACCAGAATGTAAGCTATATATATATATATATATATATATATATATATATATATATATATATATATATATATATATATATATATCTGGGGTTGGCGGCATCCGCCTTCGGATTTGCCTGTCATTGTGGCTAGCCACAGGACGCCTGCGCCTACAGAGGAACCATGGGTGGCTTGCGCTGCACCAAGCACAGCTCCAACCACACACCCATATCCAGTGTAAATCCGAAGGAATAAGACCGGGAGGCATGTAGATGGGAGTCATGTTTCATCAACGGAGCCGGCCCACACTCCTTCACAGGCAAACACAAGCACGCTGTATTTGGGGAATCAAGCACACACAAGACGGTGGCTGGACCGTAGTCCGCTCCACACTGAGTGCATGGAACCACTCTTCGAGCTCAGCACGGCCACGAGGACTACGCACCCCGTCCCCTCCAGCAACGACCAACTGTCTCCTGGAGCCAGCACGGACGAGATAGTGGTCAGAAAACAGGTAGGCACCTTGTCAACATGCACATCAAACACACCAACACCGGGGATATCAAGCAACTGCCAATCAGTTGAGTGTAAGATAACAAATAAAATAACGCCAGTAATGCATAAGGAAACGTTGACCTAAATATTAAATTTATGAGCAAATGAAATAAGTTGTTTACAAACGAATCTGTGAAAACTGCACGAGGTCAGAAGGTATAGTTTACGGAAATGCCACAAACATGAACATGCTATCGAAATTGACTACAATTGACTTAAGCGACGTGTGCAAGTTTACAGAAGAGTGTACATGTAGACATTTATATGGGAAAGAAACTCATTAGGACAAAATTGCGAGCCCCCTACCTGAAATATATTAACTTAGAATGCAAGCAGGCGGTTAGTAAATCGAATGAAGCGTACCTACAAACGCTGCGCCTGTTCTGCCTACGTTCTCCGCAGGACTCGTCGTCGCTTCGGTAGTGGTCCCGAGTGGCTTTGCTCATGGCTCACTAGGCGTGCCGAACTCAGGTACTTGAGACCGCATATGCTACAGCACCATGCACTTGATGTCGATGGAGAACAAGCCATCGGTGCTTGCCGCTTCCGCACTTGCCGCCTCTTCTCTGCATGTATGAGGTCTTTCTCTCGAACTTCAGCAACGGCCTTCGTGATCAGATCGCGCCATGCACGCCGATCAACCGCCTTCGATTCCCATGATGTGCAATCAAGATTAGAACGTGAGAGGCTCACTTTAATCATGTCCTGGTAACGTAACGTTCGTTTCCCCACGTGACGCTTCCCAATACTCAGCTGCCCATATAAGACTTGTTTCGGTATCCGCGTCGAATCCATACTGCTCGTATGACCCAGCTACCTCAGGTGTCTCAGTAAAAGTATGCAGTCCACTGCGTACATCCCACTTCGGCGCAAAACTTCCGTGTCAGCAAATATGTCGCCCCAACCGATGCGCAAAATCCGTCGCAGACACTGCTGATGTAACCGCTCGAGATATCGCACATCCTGCCGGTACATCGTCCATGTTTCACTGCCGTATAGGAGAACGGACAGCACCACGGATTTGTACACCATCAACTTCGTGCCAATGGTAAGCTGATGTTTGTTCCACACTCGGTACTCAAGCTTCCCGAATGCCGCCGCTGCCTTCGACACGCGGATACGCAGCTCACTGTGTGGCTGCTGATCAGTTGACTTCACAATCCCAAGGTAGCGGAAGCGGGAGGTGGTTTCCAATACTTCAGCTCCCACGCTGAGTTGCGGCAATATTGAAGATTGCACCTCAGGTGAAGGCTGAAAGAAACTGACAGTCTTGCTTGTATTGATGGTGAGGCCGAATTTGGCTGCTGTTGAAGCCAAAGCACTAGTCATGTGTTGCAACTCATCCGCGCTGTGTGCAAACAACGCAAAGTCGTCAGCAAACAGCAACGTACAGATAGTTGTCTCAGACTGGGGTTCTCGCATCGAAACGACGGATATTGAGCGACCAACAACCAACGCGGTGCTCCACACGAACACCGTAAGCACAAGAGGCATCAAAAGCACAAGACATCATCGCATGAAGATATATATTAAACAGGGCAGGAGCTAAGACACAGCCTTGCTTCACATCAGAGATAACTCCAAATTCATCCGAGGTCTCTCCACTCAGCTGCACCCTCGCTCGCATACCACTGTGCAGACATTCAAGTAAACTTACAAACTTACGCGAGCAACCAAACTTACCCAACACCAGCCACAATGCCTCGCGGTTCACCGTATCAAATGCCTTGGTGAAATCAACAAAAAGCGAGTACCATGGCTGGTGTCGTTCTCTGCACTTCTGCAAATGACCAGCCACAAACACCATATCTATAGTGCTGCGATCCGAACGGAATCCACGCTGCTCCTCCGCCACGTTAGGTTCCACAACCTGACTGACGAGGCGGTTGAGCAGGATTCGGACAATCACCTTGCCCACACAACTCAGCAAGTTGGTGCCACGATCATTCGTGCAAAATTGCTTGCTACCTTCGGCCTTGTACAGTGGTAGCACAGGGGCATCCTTCAGCTCAGGAGACACCTCCTCAATTCATACGCTTTGCACCAAGGGATGCAGCAAAGTCATCAACGCAGGACCGCCGTGTTTCAATGCTTCAGGCGGGATCTCGTCGGCACCAGCACACTTGCCGTTTCGCAGCTGAGCAAGTGCTCTCTGCATCTCATCCAGCGTAGGCATGTCCGCCGGACTCGCCTTCACATCGGGCTGCTTCAGGCAGTTCAATTTAGGCCAGTCGATCTCTGAACGGTTGTTCAAGAGACATTCAAAGTGCGTTCGCCAGGCCTGCATTATGTCTGCAGTCTGTGTGCAGGTAGCGCCTGAACTACCATCGATTAGTGTCCTCAGTTGCTCCAACCTCGGTCCATACACCGCCTTTAAGGAGTCAAAGAATTCCTTGTGTTGGCGACGTTCGGTGTAGCATTCCATCTGTTTCGCTTTCTCCGTCCACTATACATTTTTAATGCGACGGAGCTCTCGGGTCAGTCACAGTCGAAGTTTGCGAAACTGACTATTCTTCCCCAAGTCACTGGGGTCTGCCACGTGTGCAGCAAATGCTGCATTCTTTTCCGACCCCAATGCGCCAATGGTCGCATTGTTCTCATCAAACCAACCAGGCCGCTTACAGTTTGCGCACGAGGGTCTCCTCGGCAGCGGCTATCACCTGGTCGCGAATGTGGTGCCACAGGTCGCGCACTGTCGCTATGCAATCCACATCACACAGGCGTGCAGCCATCGCCTTCTCCAGCTCAATATGTTTCTCCACAGTATCAAGGGAGAGCATGTTAAATGTACGCTGATTCACGACGGGAGTGCAATACATCGATTTACGAACATACAAGCACAGTTTGGTCCGCACCAATTTGTGATCAGTGCCACACTCAGCTTCACGCAGTGCACGTGTCATGCGCACTTCACGCATATTACGCTGACGTACGATGACATAATCGAGCAGGTGAGCGTGACCGCTCCGTGGGTGCGTCCAAGTTGCTATATCACTCGCACTCAGTGCAAACCGAGTGTTCGTGATCGTCAGGCCGTGAGTGGCACACAGTGAGAGCAGCCTGTCACCGTTCGCATTCGTTGAACTAATGCCATGCGGACCGATGACATCTGTCCACACCGATGCATCACGTCCAACGCGCGCGTTGAAATCACCCAGCAGAAATGGTCGGTCGCTCCTCGGCACAGACCGTATCACGGAGGATAGCTCAGTGTAGAATAGATCACGCGTATCATCGGAATAACACATGGTCGGACCGTACGTGCTTATAAAGGTGGCAAACTTATCTCTTCCGAGTCGGTCATTAGTCGCGCGCTGAGGCCTCTTGGTTCACTCAGCAGCTGGCCATGGGGGCGATCGGAGATTGCAAATCCAACCCCATGTTCACATGGTGCTGAGGCGGCGTTGCCCACCAAGTAGAATGTGTAACCAGCACCTGTTTTATGCAACTTACCTTGCTCAGCTAGCCGGGTTTCACTGAGCGCCGCAATATCGATGTTGTAGCGCGCTAGTTCCATCGCGACCAGTGCGGTGCGTCGTTCCGGGCGCTCGCTGGAGAACCAGTCCAATAGTATGTGCAAGTTCTAGCATCCGATGCTGAGTGCTTTGCGCACAGGCATACGATTGCATTGCTGGGCACTCGCACGCGAGGTGGTCGTTGCTCTTCCGAGATTTGCGTGAAGGACTCCCGCAAGGCATTGGGGAGCAGGTCCAGCTCGGGAATGTGATTGCAGAGACAGATTGGGATCTGCTTGACGGCCGTCACACGCAGCCTTTGAGGTTCTGGAACAGTTATCATATGTTTTGCGACCGTAATTGGATACGCACCTACGACCACGGCGAGTCGCAGGTGGGTTTTGGCGGGTTTGCACCAATTTGACCAGGGGCTGCCTGGCTTGAGGCGGGCAGTGGCAAACCATTGAACGCCCGGAGGTATCCTCCCACCGTCAGAGACAATACGTGGTGCTCGTGCTCTACGCCAATCGAGCTGTGAGCTTATAACCCGTAAACCTGTTGTCTCCCATGGCTAGGTTTTACAGGAAGAGGGCCATCGACCACTGCCTAACCTCCGAAGAGGATGGACTAGGATACTGCCAGGGCGCCCACACCTGACAAGAGAACGACTAGGGTCCTCAGCCAAAGCCTTCGATTAAATGAACACCCGAAAGGCAGCGGGTCTAGCACACGGTCAGTTCACTGAGTCATGCGCATTGGTGTCCTGGAGCTTAGCAGGGAGAAGGGGTAATCTATCTCCCACTCAGCGGTAGCCAGGAGGAGGCGTCCAGGACGTGAGCCAACGGCACAACAGTAGCAGCAGTGGGTAAACCATCTGTCAGGATCTAGCCACCACCAGCCTCAGCGAACCATAGGCTCTCCCACCTGACATATATATATAAATATATATATATATATATATATATATATATAAGCGGCAACGTGCTCGAAAATTTTGAGCCAAAGGTTTCCACCAGAGTCAAATCAACAAACAGTGATGGAACTGGCCACCTGTAATACACACACATTTAGCATTACTGGCCCTCAACAAGTTGCTGTGTAAGGCAAATTGATACCCAGTAAGTTGCACGGATGATTTAGTTTTATTTGTGATCAAACCACAAGATTCCAGCGATGTGGAATCACTGTTAGTAAGGTAGTACGAGGTCAGATGTAACGACCATGAAGTTGTTCACAATGGTGGTCCCGGGGCAACACGACACTCAGCGTCGAGTGTTGGAACTGTATCACGTCTAGTTTTCCACAAACCTTACCAAGCAAATTCAATTACAGTCGGCTGGCTGGATGAACGGACGTCGCGGGTCGGATTCGGCCAGTTTACCGTAGTTTGGTTACCCCTACGTTAAACGGTCCAAAGACTACGAAGTTTTATATGCTGTGCTTTCTTGGGACTTTGGTCCACCTCAATTTATCGTGATTATCTAATGAATATTGCACTTTATGGAACATTAGCAGATTGTAGTTTATTTTGGTGACCCTGTTGTGACACAGAAAACGACTACCTGTGACGTGGAACGCGTTAGACGACCAAAAACCACAACTCTGCTGGCAAATATGGAACACCAATGGGAAAAATAGGTTAGTTTATTCGGATAGCCTATGTACAGGGCGTCTAGACGACGGTTATGGCGACACCGATACACCATTATGGCTGTACAATCTTATTAGAACCGACAGTAATGCGAGAAAATTCGAGCGTAGTCCGAACTCAATCATTTGAATTCAGACCAATACATACGGACATGTTCGATTTCCTGGGTACATACTTAAACTATATATTCTTGAATAATTTTGCTATCATACCCTAAGAGAACGAGCGAATCGTCGAGAAATTAAAACCCATACAAAGATGCGTGGTGGAAGCGGTTACGAAAGTTCTTCGCGCCAATAATAAGAATAATATCAAGCTGTATGAAAACCTAGGCGACAATGAAGTGAAAAAGAATTCAGAAAGCAAGTATTGCCGTCGACTTAAATAACCGCAAGTAACAGGTGACCTTGAGCAAAACTGTAGCAAAATTAGGGGACTGTGCCTATCGATAAGGAGTCTGAGCAACGGTTCGACCCAGTTCGACTAGTGACCGGATCATCCCTGTAAGCGTCAAAGCCCCGGACAGCCATAGGCGAACTGGTTTCCACCGGAATGACCAACAACGCTGTCGACATCCGAATACGGTTCCATCGCAAACAGATAAAAACAAAAATGTTACAATATCATAATAATCTGTACTCCCGGAGCAGGAGTATTAATAACAGTAACAATTAGTAATAGTCAACAAGTATGGCTTCAAGACACATAGGGGAATGCACTCGAGTCAATGCACTGTGGCTTAAAACAGGCATATACAGGACTAATCAGAAAAGGAGTCTAACTTGAGGCATGGGCGTTTGAAAATCCGTGCACAACACACTGTACTGGCATTTTGTTTCAATCCTACGTAACGGGGTTGGGGAAAATAATAGACCACACAGACCAGATGGTTTCAACGTGTAACCTGCACCCACATAAACACAGGGTAAAGATATTGAAACATCCTAGTGTACCGATAACACATCGGGCGTATTTCTGTGAAGCGATAGTGGTTTGTTCCGAAGTCGGAAAAGCAGGTCAGTGTATGCGAATAAATGTGGGTCAGCCACATTCCCAACATGCAAAGTAAACATGTACTTACATTGACATCAGAACACCTGATCTGCTTTGAGAGCCAGCGAAAACAAACGTTGGTTTGGGACAAAGAAAAGCGTTTGATAAACGCTAATGTGAATCACAGCCAGGGGATCATTGAGGGGGACGAGTGTACGTTAGGATAGGGCATTCAGGATTCTTCTACAATACTTTCACACCATTCTTGTCTAGTCCTCCTGAGACTTTCCAGAATAAACTGCAGTGTCCGAAACTTGTACACTTCGAGGCGCGCATTTAATGAATACAAGAAAGACGCGGCCAAGGCACCTTGGGCACTTCGAGCGTAAAAGCAGGTGAAATGTCGCACCTCTAACTGGACGAATTCGGCGCTAGGAGTCCAAAGATGCGGTAAAAAACACCTCTCTCTCTGGTCGTTCCTAAAGTATAGTGCTAAGGTCGTTTAGTCACAGTAAGAGTGATTTCCGAAATCCCTTGTTTTTGAGGTAGAGTGCATTCATTCGACAAAATCATGTCGTCAAAATCGAGGATGCGTGTGGTCCACTAATCGCGTCAAGGAATACTGTTCTGCTAATGTGAAAAAACGGAAACGTTTTTAGATTGATGTGGTTCCTTGTTTACTTCAGGTAAACAACCAATACGGGAACTAATTAAGGCTAGTTGAATCAGTAACAAATTGTTGCTAGTTTTGGGTCTCCAGAGACCAATCATGTTAGGTTCTCGTTCCAGCTGATGTCTGGTTCGGCATTCAGCTCTATCTGAATATGTTAATGTTATAGCTTCATCATGGGGGGGGGCCACAAAGCCGTTTGTTATATTTCAATGCTAATCAGCGAACCTTTTTCCCGCTGCTTCCTCACATAATTGAGGTTTGAAAAGCCAAATGAGCCCTGCAATTAATCTTTTGAAGGTTATAAGTGCTTTTGTTGCAAGAGGTGATAAAGCTATATAACGTAGTAAACCGATTGGGTAATTTAGTGAGCCTTCGGTAGCTGGGGAAAACAGTTAATTGACCACCCGATCCTGCAAAGCATACCACAATCACAGTATACATTTTTCCGTTGAGCCGATATAGGGCTGAGTGTATAGCTGATGATCTAGGTTAGAGCGGCTGAAAATGCAAATACTTATGAAGGTGATAAAAATAAGGAAATAAACGCTAAACGTACGGATGCCAACACATTTCTTAGCACATATACACTTCTGAAATGGATAGCGTCGGCATGTAAAGACACTAATAACTATATCACGCTTGATCGTCTGATACTACAAAGTAGTAAATATGTGTCTACCTGGCTACTCTCTTTCTGTTTAGATACGACCGTCTAGGCAATGTCAATTGCTTCAAGAAGAAAGCGTAGTTATACCAATGTTAGATCAACAATGTAGGTGGGACGGTAAGGCAGTTTTTCTATGGATATGAATTTGGCGAGGAAAAACATGAGTGTAAACTGAATTCGAATTCTCATTTTCACAATTGGTTGTCCTAAACATTTGTTGGAGGGTAGGACCAAACTGAATCATTTTGTAATTCTTAAGGTATTAATATTTGAGCGAACTTTGTTAGCGCATTATGCTGATTGTCTCGCTTCTTCAGGAGATGTGTCTTGAGGTGCTTCCCGGAAATCTCCCAGGAAAGGCATCTGAGGCACCAGAGGTGGTGACGCAACTGATGGGATTTCTCATCACTGGGCGCAAATTACACGACGGAACCGTACAACTCGGGATGGCCATGGCACACTTGATTCTACGCCAATTGCATGTGGCCGCATCCAGCTTGCACCAAAATGCTGATTTGTGCAATATGTTCGAACATAAACCTACCAGAAAGCTACGGCAAGCACAAAGCTCAAGCGAACCGAAAGAGAATGGCGCTAATGTGGCAGGGAAACCTGTGTATAAAAAGCGAAGCGAATGTCAACTGTTGAATCCTTTGCATCAGCGCATAAAAGCCGGGAAATTCCAGTTTATTCGTCAAGTTGGACGATATCTACCGTTTATGGTTCAGATCAAAGAAGAGGTACAGTGGTTAACCTGCAATATGTCGTTTCATAAACTGTAATCACTCCATTTTTGCTGATCGCTTGTCGTTTGGAGTAACTTAGCACGGTTCTTCAAACCGGACTATTCGCAAGCACTCATGCTTATGAACACCCACCTGATGCAGACCGTAATTCATATCATACGGGGACATGGGAAATATTGATTTTGCAAAATTCCACTATGACTAGTCGGTTGCTATTGATGCCACATGTTTCGCAGATGATTAGAAGGTCTATATGGTTGTCGCATTGGGCCACAATTATTTTGCCTATGGGGTTGGGAACTCAATGTTTTACCACTTAGTTGCAATTTTACTAACCGTAGCTGACTAAACGCTGCATATCAACGTCCCAACTGCTAGTTTGAGTGGCCTTCTGTCTTAAAGGAAAAGCTTTGTAATATATGGTAAAAGCTGCCACACTTTTTGCCCGAAAACAAATCACCAGTGCGCTCATAACTTATAAAAATTCTTTCTGGTTCCTAATTTAACAGCTAAAAGCAGATGGATTTCTTACACGCGGTAAATAGGTAAACCATGGTTACTTCTGGCCAAAACGCAGGCCAAGAAAGACCACAATCCAATAATTATAATTCCCGCATTTTACCCTTTGTGTGCGGCTTCTGTGACCTCTCGGAAATTTTAATGATCATTGTAAATAACCTCATGTTTTGACTGAAATCTGGATACAGGTGTTGTGATGTTGTGTAGAGTCTCTCTTTAATCTGGTTAAAAAAACCAGTGTTTCCTGGTGTTAACTGATTAGATCGCGATAAGTTGGCTGATATTCGAACCGACGGCGTCATGGATGTTTAGCGAATACCTTCACAGTTTATATAAGCCAAGCTGGAATTAGTCGTGAAGCCGGAGAATAGGTGCTCTGAACACCACAACTCTTTTGCTTTAAAGACGGTTTCATGTTGGGAGCACCCTAACTCTCCCAAACTAAATTCAGGCCCCTTACAACACTGATGCCAACCCATCATTGCAATTAGTAGTACACACTGATGGGTGTTTCTCGCCTGTCGCATTCTGACTGGATCGCATTCGTCTTAACGTACTTGATTTGCTCAGTCGGGGCTGCGTTGCTTTCATCGGGGTTACTCCTGGAGGCGTGAACAAAGGCGTACCGCTCCGGAAAGCTAAGACTATTAACTACCAAATTCTCCGTTCTTCTCGACATAAGCCAGATTTGGTTTGTCGCTTGTGAAGCATTTCCTGATGGTTTACTTTTGGTTCACTTTTTACCCGCCTATTGTAATGTTCAATTTCTCCTTCTTATTTCACGGAGGCTACAGCCGAGGAATAGAAAACGTCTCACTTCTCATTGCTCTACTTTTTGAATGCATTATATGATGTACAACAAAATTCTTATCAGCACTGTTTTGCATATTGGTGTCTCGAGAAGTTATCCTTATTGTACACTTTCCCTGTACAAATTGATCGAGCGGTCTTCCTTGCACAGAAACGAAACATGCCATTGCATTATTAGACATCATTACTATTACTACTCGTCTAATTTTACATGTTTTAAATTTTTCTTTACTTCGTTGATGGCCACGACTGGGTCGATCTCTATAGGTGACGGATTAAAGCTTCCAACGTTAATACTTTTACCCATGCAAGGCGCACTGGTTTTGGTTTTCTGGCGATAAAAGAGTGTTTAATTCCAGAAAACCGATCGATGATACGGCTTGGATAGCTTAACTGGCCAGCCTCTATATACAGAAAAACAGCCCGAAAGATGAGTTACCTTGATGACGGCTTGCCTGCCTCAAAAGCTACACCGGCACACGGAGAGATGAGGCATGGGAGTGTGGGTGAAATCCCTTCGAGGGAGTTACCTGTATGAAAGCAGATCCACAGGAAACGGTTCCATGGATGACTGTATTACTTCAAGTATTTATTTAGATTTATCTACAGTTGTTTTTTTTTGACAAGTGCTCAATCATACCGAAAGATTTAACCGGTCAATTAGCCGTGTCCGCCAAAAATAGATGGAAAACTGCTTCAGGATTTCGAAACTTGGACAAACTGCTCCCTGCGATTCCGCCGTACATTAAGAATAGTAACATCTAGTTGGAGTGTACCTATCACTAACGAGGAAGCTCCCATAGTTTTTATTCACCGAAAGTAATATTGCTCATGCAACAACATGGTAGTACCTGTTTACACGTGATCTGTGCCAAATATGGATGCAGCTTCTCACTTAAAGTGATGTATGCCCATTATTCGCTATCATCTCTACTTCGAGCTCCCTTGCTAATTTCCGTCCGTGGTGCCCGAAGTAGTTTCCCTCTTCCTTATTTTCAGTAGCTTTTCCGTCTCGTCTGTGATCCATGCCGACGGCGTCACTGCAATATTTACCGATCTCTAATGCGTAGTAGGAATTCTACTATAATTTATAGATAATTCATTACAGTTCACGTCTGGAGAAGCACCAGACAGCGCTGTCTTGACCTTTTGTGTCTTGTCAATGGTGCGCCTTCCTCGGACACTATGACTTCCGGATACCAGAAAGTCGCAATAGCATTGTCTGGTGCTTTTGCAGACGTGTTAAAGTCTGCCGACTGAGGGTGGACTGTGATGACTTATCTTTACTGATCTAATGTGGTTCCTAAAGTAACATGTGTTAGGATACAATTTAACAAAACGCTTGTCATGTATACAAATTCTTGCTCCCTTCATCATAAAAATGAATTTAGTTTCCTGAAATCCGTATTCCTTGATACAATGACTGCACTAATCTATTGCATCTAGCCCATACATTAACGGCACCATGCATACTTAATTGATGACCGCAGCACTTACATAGGGTAAAACAGGGAAAATGTGGCTGGACTGCAGGCGGGCAGGATTTATGTTTCTTGTGGCATTTGTTTACGAATAGAGCCAATAGTGCGCTGTGAGCATAGTATGCGATAAGTGCTTTAGAACCCATTTTCGGTGAGAGTTGGTAGGTAATCAGCCAATATATTAGCTCTGGATATTCGCATAACGAGAGCTAACCATTTCGTGGAATACGGAATCGTAGTTTTTGAGTTGGTGTGCCGAAGAAATCGACACGTCAAGTCATAACTCTGGGATGAACAGCAAGTTTCCACCGCAAAACCGGAAACCTCTAACATTGTGATGGTTACTTGAACAATGATGATTGCTGCAATGTAGGTGTCAGAAAACCTCTCCTTGGTAAAAACAACAAAACGTATAGGTCCACTTAGTCAAAGCAGGAAAGTAGTTCATGCACACCAGAAAGATGAATATTCAGCCGCAACACACACAAGCTCTGGACATAATTGATGCTTACGTAGAAGGTTCTAACAGGATAGGCATAAAAGGACAGTTAGCAAAACACGCCAAAAGAGACAAAATCATGGAAAATATTTACCCAACCGTTTTTGATTGTCTAGACCTTGAGTAAACAAACAGGGTGACTGATAATTGACAACTGACGATGGGCTCGTGTGCGGATATGTAAAGTGTAACACTTCAGTCTAGTCTAGAAGTTCGTTACGTATTCCGACAAAGCCTTATGGAGGAGGTGACCCATCATTGAGAAATTTTGATGCAAATTTGCTGCAGGATAAAATTTCCGGTCTTGTAATTCCACACAATTAAAACAGATGTTTTACTGACTTGGTCTTTACTCAAGGGGCCAGAGCAGATCACTGGAGGGTGGTATGTCTAATATTGCAACATGCACATAATGATAGAACGTGGGATCAGATAAGGCCGTAGGTAGAAAATCCTGTAACGGTTAAAACTGAACGAGAGTTTTGGAAAACTGGTAGCTCGGGTTGCTGCTTCAGTGGCTCATCCGTTCGCCGAGCTTGGAAATTTGTTTGCAAATCTTTCAGCACCATGCGAGATGGCATCATCAGTGCGTTGAGATGTGGAGTATAATCTCGCTGATTGGATTGTCGATCCGTGCTCGGCATGCAGGTGACTTTTGATAGTGACGGCTTCGACCTGCGCCCCGTGATCTCTACCCATTTTACCCGCGGCGAAAGTCCTCGCTGGAATAGTTCCTATTCAAATGGCCTCTTGTAATTTCTCTAAATTCTTTCCGTCAGAGGGGCTGGTAAACGGGGTCGATGTTGATATGCATGTTGAATGGGTCTTTTGTTGAGAACCACGATTTCAGGAACTCCGTTTCTCTTCTTGTTTTGCTTCGTACCAGGATTTTTGTTTTGGCCCCAGCGAAGCTCTGTTCTTTTTCGTCCACGTGCGATGAGACTAGCGATGATACATAGTGCCTTTTCCACGCTCTTTGTTGCTCTTGTATTCATGTTGCTATTTTACTACCTAGAACGAGAGTCTACTGCTTTCGGGAAGTAATTGGGTTACTTGATGGGAACATGTAGAACCACTGCTCAATGTCACTTCCAGGCATTTTACTGGTGTGGAAAACGTTGCAACTTCACCAACAATGTAAATTTGTGCACACTGTGTGAGAAGTGCTCGGTAGGGATTTGTTTTGCGTAACGAAAGAAGTACATCTGGGAACATTGTGCAATGACTATCGTTCCCATTACAATTAGTTCAATTCTTACTACAACAGCAATATCTCTACCCACCTTAAACCCCACTAAGCTCAATCCCAGGAAAATGTATGTTGTTGCGCAGTTTAGCTAATACATCCCACGGACAGCTTTAGCAGTGATTGGATATTTCGGATAAAAAGGCTTGCATTCAAATATGGAGTAAAGTTTCGAAAGCGAACAAGAGGACAACCACAGGTGCCATCTCACTGTTCGAAATGAGGTGGGTATATTCTATGATTAACTCAGACCAATTGTGGCAATCCTGTCGAACAAGAGAACATACACACTCGATCAAATGAATTCGCTGTACTTTTGGGGGTGTGCATGAGGTCCATAAACCACTGGTGTGTAAAAGCAACAATGTTTAACTAAAATTCATAAAACGTGGATTTTTACTATTTCTGTACAAAAGGCATGCTACGCGGTCTTAAAATATAACACAAAGGCAAAGGGTTTGGAACGCATTCGATGAAGTGTGGACTGTCGGTGTATTCATTGGCCACATGTGTCTTTACGCTCTGCAATTTCAGGTGGATATTGCAATTGATGACTGCGCCGAGGTGATTAATATACGAGAAGAGATATTGGAAACAACTCTAGAACTTGAGGCAATTCTGTTCTCCACTGATTCGGATGTAAGTTTGTGTTTTATTTGGTTTCTGTCTCCAGTGTGACAGCTTGTCGCTTATTGTGACCTTCCAGCGTACATTCGGATATATCATTGTAATTAATAGAATAGTTTATGATTCATGTGGTCAGTACTTTTTGACCTGCTATTGCAAGCGTACGATTACCGAGCCCTTGCTTCCACCACATAGGCCCTGATAAAGAGTTTGAATATTCAGTGCGCAGAATATCACATTGGACCTGAATTTCCAGTTCCACTGTTGTAGAAAATAATGTATTTTAACGAATAGTGATTACTGACATGACTCACTCGTTCATTTTACCTGCAAATAAAAAAGAAGTGAATTTGCGCACCAAAAACGAAACAACTGAGGAAGTTTGGCTATCGTTAGTACAGGAAAAAAGATCGCATAATCATTGAGGTATTGAGTACTTTTTTCCGTTATTGGTCGCTTGTGGATTACCCATCCAGTTGTTATTCCGTCGTGCTTTCAGCTTTTATATACTGATCTTTGTTATGTTCGTGGAGTCAGTCAGACGGTTTAGCGTTTGTTTCGACTCATTAAGTACAACAAATGTCCGGGATCACCAGTAAATACTAAAAGTTAGGGGATAGTCCATAAAGTTAGACTTAGTAATGCAAATACCACCGAGCTGTCCAAGAGAACCTGTGTAATTTACTAGACCCACGTAGATTGGTTTGTTACTTCCAACACTATTTGCTCACGTGTCCTAAGAGGAGCACACATGCATGGCGGAGCGCATGTAAAACATTCCACATGCACATACTTCTACAGTAGAACATCCCAGGTTGACTAGCTCTGTACGTTGAACACCTCTATAAGTCGAAAGTTTCTTCATGGATAGGACGTTCAGCATGTAAACCTTATGGAATCATATCTTAAGTCGTATGTTGATCATTTGGGTCAAAACAGTCACTACTAATTTAACCTCTATAAGTTAGCCATGTGAAGCTTTACTGTGCAATGGTCATTGATCGTTTGTTAAAGCAACGTAATGTGTTTCTTTTGAAGACTAGTCGCACTTGGACACAGGCAGACAACCACCACACATCCAGGAAATTGGCCGCGATTTCCTTCTATTGGGACTCGTCAGTAGCGCGCAGCCGCCGAATGCCGCCGGATTCGAACCCACGACCTTACTCTTAGGACGGATCCTTAAGAAAATAACCCCTACTACTTACAAATAATCCGTAGCCGCCTTAGCACCTTACATGCCACGTCGAATGGTAGCGGCTTGCAAAGGAAGTCGTTGATCTGCATGTGCATAGCATGTAGGACAGTGAAGGATGAGCCGCACTATGTCGCAATTAGATTCCAGTCATGTCGGTCCGCTGTCGTCGCCCATGGCTTAGTGACATTAGTCGCTGGCTCGCAAGAGTAAGGTTGTGGGATCGAACCTGGCAGGATTCGGCAGGTGCGCACTACGGATGAGTCGAAACAACCGTCTAGCACTTGTTTGGATGTGTGGTGGTTGCCTGTGTCTAACTGCGACGCATCCTCAACAAACCCAATAAATCCCGTACTACTTTCAATGAAGAGTGTAGCGGGATTTTGAAATGGCGAAATGTTTCTGATTCACAACCCCTGCACTTGACGGCTTTACAGACCTTGAAGGAGCATGTTCGCTGTCTGGGTATCTGCGCACGTGCCTCTGACCCGCGTCACAGTGTTCATGGTCGTCGGTATTTACCTATGACCATGCGTCCCCAAGGGTCTGTGTCCACAAACCGAACTTGACCATCTTAATGTGAAATCTTTACACACGAAAACGAATCATTCCTACTTTAGAACATGTGCCCACTCACTGCACAGGTCGAAATCAGGAGTTCGGAGCTTGTCTAACAGGCTCATGTCTGAGCTTGCTGCCCTTATCACTCATCCCGAGCACCAACCACCTTTATTAAGCATTTTCTCTCAGGCGGCAATCCTAACCTAATATGAGGTTATTATAACAACCGTTTTGTCACCACCCTCCTTATATTCCACCGTTATTGTCAGTGGTGATCTCCAACACATTGCCGCAGTGACTACTGTGAAACTTTTCTTCCATCTACACCAGCTTGCCTAACTTCCGCGTACTCTACTATTTCCTCGTTACTAGGTATCGCCCAAACTGTTATTAGTTTGCTTCATTTTTGCCGCGTAAAGAGGACTCTGACGTCAGTTACTTCATTAGCTTCCCTCCATAGCTTTATGACACTCTGACAAATAATTTGTGCTAGTTTTACTCTTAAACCTGTTGCATTTCTTCCTGTTACCGAAATACTTATTTTCCGCTTCCATTCCCCCATCACACTAAATCCCTTCAATGAACAACCTTTCATCATTTGGATTGAGCTCACCCATCACCATCCTCTTTGAATAAGTAATGGACCACGATCTTGCAACTACGTCGCCGCCTTAACTACACCTTAAGCCAGCAAACCACCCGGAGTCTTTTCCCGGCCAAACTTACAACGCCCACTAGTTTACTGCTGCTAGTCACACTCAACATAGTGGTTTCCACGATACAAGTCTTCGAGATTAGCATTCATCCACATGTCTATTACGTCATCATCGTTTTTTGTCTGCAGCCGGATTTACACATCATTACCGCCGTATACATATTTCGGATTACAAAGTTATGAAGCCCACACAGATAATACCCACGTCAACCCACTGGCCCGCTGACGAAGGATATCTGCTCTTACGGCCAGCCACCAATCTGAGCTTTTCCACGGCATTTCTGTACCGATTTCACTGAAAACTACAAACTTACTTTGCTCACTCGTACACCCGCAACCATCAAGAAGAGGCACCAACACCTGAAATGGGAGCATACAAAAAGCGGCTGTCCCCATCCTCGATCCGAAATTACGCCCACTACTGACATCCAGCCCTATACTTCTAGCCACTTAGTTGTAAATTAACCGCCATTTGAATCACTGCCACTTAACACCTTTTTAAGGGGGGTTGTCTGACTCAGGCATTAGCAGCCAAATGGAACAACCAACCTACTCAATGTGCCCAGTCTACAGCAGTCGCCACGCACCTCAAAGGTTTACAAAGGCTAGACCGATAGATGAAAATCCACATAGCAAAGCCTCCTTTGCAATCACTATTACAGTGGCTATGTCTGCCCAGGATCCACCGAACAACCAGAAACCGCTTCCCGAATGTAGCTCCCTTCACACCATGGTAACAAACCATACATTTCCCGAACTCCCCAGCCCGAGACGCGGATTGGGGTCTATGAACGGCCTGCGGCACAGGTCTCGGCCTGTCACCCTACGTCTCCTGTTCTGAATCGCCAGGACAGCGGACCTGCTGGTTCTGATACACAGCAAACGAACGGATCGGCCTCTGCCGTTTCCAATTCCAGCCTTCTTGACCACACGTCCAGTAAATCCTCGCCCCACAGCACCCACCATCAATCACCACAACTTACAGGTGATACCGCATTACATCTAGAACTATTCACCTCTCTTCAGCATGTACCTAATAAGCAATTGACTCTAAACGCACCGACACCGACAGACCCAGTTTCTGCGTCATCAGTAGCCGTCCGTGGGACGTCCATAATGTTCGCCAATTGTAAATCACCCGATAAGGCGCAGAACCCTATATCCGTGTCACTCGCTTTACAGTGAATCCATAGCTATCAATGTGATTTTTCTCTACGAAGTTTCTCTGCTAGACGAGGCCTCAAACGACACCTCTGGGCACAGTATTGAGATCCGACTAGATTCATGGCAGAAACGGTAGACTCTGACGAGCCCTTATATAAATCCCACACATGTAGAAGAAGGTTTACGAGGCAACCAGGCCTTACCCAACGTCGTAGAATCCGTCACCCCGTAGATTACAATGAAGAATGCAAGAAGACTTTGTCTGCTCACCCGTTTAACTGCGCGGTCCTGGAGGACGAAACTCTGTCTAATAACGCCGACGCTCTCAGATTGAACATCAGTTCTTTCTATGACCTAGACAATCGCGCACAACAGTACTTCCCTGCCAGATTTACGGCAAGTATTAGTAAACGCCTGAGCATTTTAGGATGGCAACTCAATGAGACCGGCGCTCCTCCTGCAACACAGACCACACCAAGCCCTGATCCATGTGCCTTCACAACCGCGGAACAGACGCACAGACGTGTAGCTTCATTGCCAACATTGTCGCTATTATCATCTCCTGGGAACCTAACAACCCATCTCCGTCAAGGCCACATTGTTGATTTGGATGCATCGGATGCAACTTCACCCGATCACGACATCAGGACGAGAGCCAAGCGTCTGACGCCAACTCGAATAGTGCCAACTTCGAGTACACACAGAGAATGTACCGTGCATTCGATGGATGACTCAGCCAATACCGCAACTGAACGGCCCATAACATTCCAACACCTCCGAGAGGCTTGGCGCCTAGTCCCGCTATGTGCGGATTGAACCCAAGTACAGACCACCAAGCTTCGAAATCTGTTAGCTAACTCTATCGCCCAACATTCCCAAGACGAATTCCGTACGTGCTTCAACAACCTTTGTCAGACTTGGTTTCCACACACCTAAAAGCCATCCAAATTGCGCAACAACACTAAAAACATTCAGAACAGCAAACAATGAGGTAGACTCCAGCTCGGTCACATCCAACATCTTTCTCATCTTGGGATTCTGGACGCGACGGCAAAGGCGCTCGATCGCAGATAGCGGACCGCTAGCTAGAAGAAGAGGAAAGAAGCGCTGGATTCATCGAATGTTAGACGGGAGTATTCTCACAACCACTAGAGCCTCGGCATCGGTCCCCACGTGTGATCATTCCGCACAGAATAGATCTTGTTGAACCCATCTTCGTATCTGAATTTCGCTCATCATTACGTCAGATGACTAGCTCAGCGCTTGGTATCGACCGAATCACATCGGAAGACGCTGAACGGATAGATTAGCACTTCGTTACATCTTCTCTGAACTGCATTCTTTCCTCTTATTCTTACCCCTCTCATGGTAATGTGT